TAGTTGTACCCTCAGACAGACACGGTACCACCTTATAACACAAAAATATAATCTGTTCCAACCTAGTCAACCTATAACATATATCTATCTGTCTTTACTCAAGATAACTCAGTGAGTGAGTTACATTGTAATGGCAAAATTGTTGCAGCTATGCATACAAATATATATTGTATTCAAATGTCTGTCGACAAAGGTCAGTGGGTCAATGTCACAGTTTATGTTGGTCGGCGAGCTGTGTAAGGCGCCAGGCTAGCCAGGGATCTTGAGTGATCCAGTGACCGGGTCAGGCTATATGTAACGTGAAGTACACAACCCTGGCAGAAAATCAAAATGACCGGATGGTTTGACTACTAGCATTGGGATCACTTGATGTATGATATTGTCGCATATGCTTATATACTTTTATATCAATTTTACTATTTTCCGAATATTAAAACGCATCATATAAATACCTTTATTACAAAATAATACAACAATGTTTCGATTTTGCTTGTTGAAGTTCTTAACGGTAGATTCACAGTTCGGAAAAGCTAACTTCCAGCCACAGGGAGGCATGACTGGTCAAATATATTCTATATGTTTGAATGTTCATTCAATTCTACGATTTCATACATTTGTGATTTATAATAGTCTGTGATGGGAAGACATGATATATATTGTATATTTTGTCTTAGCGCCCATATTCTACGAGTTATTTTCGCAATTCCTGGACGAATCACTGAATGAACAACGATAATATTTCAAAGAGTGGTTGCAATGCTGAATATGAAATGTAGAGTATCCAATGAGAGCCTTAGATGTACAATGTTTTCCACGACGAAAACGGATTCAGTTTTTTGTAATTTGTAAACAAAAATATAAATTCATGTCACATTTAGTAGTGCCTGTATTATACTTCCAAATGCTCTTTGATCCCAGTACTGCATATTCTACGTTTGCTTATTATGAGGGATTTAAAAAACCCCAGCTATGTTAAGTAAATAAATGTTAAGAATAATGTACATTCTCATGCAGTATTCGTTATCACACAATGAAACTAATGCCGTTATTTCCTCTATTGTCTCATGTGTATGATGTTGTACATTGTTTCACTTTCTTCAGGAAATATTGCCTTAGGAAGAAATGCCTCACAGGGCAGTACATACAATGAAACCAGTGACGAGACAGGGAATACAGCACACCGTTTCGGGGCCAGGTACGCCGTGGATGGCGGAGCTACCATCGACTTCTATAGTAAACCCCTGACATGTTCGGTCACAGGAACTCATCCCAGCTGGACCGTGTACCTGAACAACTCAAAAACAGACAAGATACAACACGTCAAACTGTATCTCGATCAGCGCTGTGAGTATTGGGAGCAAACATATTACCTTTCCAATGACAATTATACCGTGCCTGAGGAGCTAAATAGAGAGCATCATATTTAAATGTAGTGGCAACATCCAGTTTGCTGTTATAGGCGACTTGAATGCTAGGGTCGGACTCGAGCAGGATTTATTGTCGATAATGACACTAACTACCTGGATGTAGAATATGACACTGACTCCTCTAACATTAGAAGAGAGTCTAAAGACAATGTAGTAAATTCATCTGGACGATCACTAAATGTTATCGTCATGGCGAGTAATGGGGTTACATAGGCTAAAGGGTCGAACAGGAAACGATCAATTTGGAAATTTTGCTTTTCTTTCACACACTGGAAAAAGTGTCATTGACTATGTCTTATTCTCCACGAGTTTGTACAAAAATGTGTCAGACTTTAACATACTTGCCATGTCAGAATCTGGCTTCCTACCACTAACATGCATATTTTTCAGACACTTAGGTCAAACTACATAATAAGAAAGGACAGCACTTGAGACCAGGGAATAGACTTAAAAAAGGAAACCAAACGTAGGTCAAGTATATATTAGCAACCTAGCAGGTAAAATCAGTAGCAACAGTGAACTACAAAACATATTTGTGGAGAACCTGGATAATTTTGACATAAATGAGACTGTAAGCAATCTATAATGTATCATTTGTATGTGCAGCTGCAAGTGGTATGCAGTCAGAGATGTGGGTTGTGGGGCACTTTCAAAGTCAGCCCAAGTGGTGGGACCAGGGATGTGAGATTCGCAAGCGTGAGACATATATTAGGTGTATACATAGGCTTAGATTATCTGGCTCGGCTACTGACTATAAGAACTATATATCATCCAGAAACATGTTTAAGAACCTACGTAACCACAAAAAATGCCAGGTATGACATATCGGATAAACCAGAATTGACGAGAGTAATAAATAATGGAAGGGTAACAACGCAATTATTGTGGAAGTTTATCAAATGCTTCGATGGACAAGGGAAGCCTGGAACTTTAGCAATCTCACTAGTGGAGTTGTTTGAGCACTTTTCGTCACTGCTAAACAACAGCAACTTCGATACTGATTTTTGTACACACGTACATGAGTATATTAGTGGCTATGACGATCACACATACTGTAGTGACTATATTGAAGATGGTTTAGTTAAGGTTAGTTCTGTGATTTATGACCTTCCCAGTGGTAGAGCCCCAAGGCCTGATGGAATGTTGAACGAGTATTTAAAAGGTATGTCTCATATATTTTTATCATATATTCATATGTTCTTCAAGCGTGGACGGAGGCAATAATATTCCGTATTCATATGAAAGGTAAAAAAAACAGAACCTAACAATTATAGCAGTATCACTTTGTTATCAGTTTAAGGAACGGTATTTACCAAATCATTGAACAACGGGCTTTCAAACTGGTGTGATACTGAGGACAAGTTATATGAGGAAGAAGCTGGCTATACGAAAGGACACCGTACCATGAACAATATCTTTTGTATTGCAGTCTCTAGTTACAAATACAGCGTTGCTATTGTCTATGCATAGATTTCTCAAAGGCATTTGAAAATGTTCGGCATCACTTGTTGAAATATGTATTATTGCAGACAGGTGTGAAGGGAAACTTATTTCATCTCTGTACAGTCAACTTAAGTCCTGTGTGCTTGTAATGGGTTTTCACTATCTGAGTACTTTTAGTGTACATTTGAAACGAGGCAAGGATGTATGATAAGTCCACTATTGCTCACTTTGTTTTTGAATGAGTTGCTAGATAATCACTAGTCAAGTAATTGCAAGGTTATTTTAGTGAATGAGTATGTTGAAAATATTACCTTGTTAATGTTTGCAGATGATACTGCTAATGCTGGAGATTTTGTGAGAAGATTACAATATCAGGATTTTGCAGTCAACGTGTATTACTCTTGAGGCAGGGTCTGCCTGTATCTTGGTGTGGTCTTCACTCCTAAGCTCTCATGGAGTTTGGTCAGAAATTCCCTAGCACAACAAGCAGAAAAGGCCTTGTACATTTTATTTGTTTTGTTTTTTAAGAAAATCTAAGCTCAACAGGTGTAAATCCAGCTAGAGTCCATGCAGGTAGCAAAAGTAATGCAAGTACCCATGGTTCCTAGTATGGTGATCTACCTTCAGTTGTTGGCGATTTATAGCCCGTGTTTTATATTGTATTGTCTTCTTTAATTAATATCTTTAAGTTTTACATGTTAGTTTTATGTTCACATATGTGCTACCCTAGTATTTTTACTGTCCATCGTCGACAGGTTTTACTCTCCAAAATGTCTTCATTTTTTATTGTATAAATTGTTTTCGTCACGATATGGCTGAGATATTGCCGATGTGACGTTAAATATTAACTCACTCACTCACTCAACATCAAAGAGTCTATGTTTTTATTTGACAGGATGGTTTCTCCCATCTTATGTTATGCATCAGGAGTTTGGGGGTTTGAACGTGTTCAGGTTCATTGTAAATTTCTCAGAAAGTTCTTCACGTCAATTCAAACTCCCCAGCAGCAGTTTTATACGGACTTCGGAAGGTGTTCATCTCAATAAAATACTAGTTGTAAATTTTGTACATGCCCACAAACAGATATCCAAAAGCTTCTTAACGGATGTTGTATCAGCTTGATGGAGTTGGTAGGTCCACATGGGCAACAAGCATCAAATATTTGTTCAATATTCACGGATTTGGTATAGTTTGGCTGGAACAAGATGTTGGTTATGTCTCCCGTTTTCGTAGAGTTTGTAAGGAACAGCTGCAAGATTGTTGGAAACAAACATGGGCATATACCATAGGTGAAACCAGTAAGCTAAATAATTATTTCACAAGCAAATCTCTGTTAGAACCTGAAAGGTATCTGTGCAACTTGAAAAGTAAAAAGTTAAGAATTATTCAGATGTATGATGTGGGAATATTGAAAATATTGTTTTTATAATTTGAATCTATCTGCAGTTGAAGACGAAATGTACTTTATCACTTCATGTCATTTGTATAACAAGTTGAGAAACAAATATTTAAAAAGTGTTTGTACAAGCGATCTATGTAATGTAGACACATTTAAGATTATAACAGATAAATACTATGTCAGAATCTTTAGCAGTGTATATTCTAAAGTGCACACAAAACAGAAAGCTGTATGTGAACAGCTAAGGGAGACAAATTACAATTTTACCAAGGCTTCATTTACTTCAGGTGATGGGAAATCTAACCATTATAAATGTTAATTATGTACATTGTTACTTGACAACAGACAGACAGACAGACAGACACAGAGACAAACACACACATGTACTCTGGGCTGGAGGCCTTTGATAATGAATCTTGAATCTTGGATATCGTAACGATCCTAAATCCTTCTATATGGTATCTTTGGTTCTTTTTCTTGTGTTACGTACTGAATGTTCCCATTCCCAGTCCTGTTCAGAAACACGAAGGGCAGGAAGATATCCTTCTGTGGACAGCCTTGCATCCAGAGGTCAACAGTCTCTCATCCGACAGCTATAGCTGACGTCAATGTTGGCTAATGTCATGAGCACGTGGACAGCATTTGTTTGGTGTTTATGGATTCTGAAACTTGCTGTACATTTTACATGTCTCTAATGGCACTTTTTCCCAGTCCTATACAGAAACAATGGTATGAAGATATATGTTGGTGGACAACTGTGCCGCCAGTGGGCAACGGGCACCCCACCGTCCGCTATAGCTGACGTCGATTGTCAACAAGCACTGACAGGAAACAACCTCACTATTCAGACCAGCGATGTTCTCACGCTGTGCGAGGTACAGATATTTGGTAGGTTAACAAGCGCTTACGGGCGTTTAAAGGAAATGCTTTGATATATTTTTAATTGTAACGCACTTGTATCACAAGAAGATTGCGTAATGTGAGGAAAAAGCCTTAAAATTGATTTTGACTATTTCTCAAAACACCTGATGACAAACCAAACATCCAAACCACCTATGACATTATAGACAACAAATGACATAGTCTACGAATAACATTGTAGACAACAGGACAGCAGATAGTCTACGAACAAAATAAGGGCTCTTGATTTAAGAGCAGTTACCATTGTTAAACGTTTTAATGCAGACTGTCGTCAAGGTTTCTCTTTATTGCGGTGTTTTATTGTTTGGAGGGAAAGCATTAGCTGATAGCTAATAATGTAATATGATATGAGTATGGTTTGGATCTTATCAATTCCATTTCATATTTGTTCCCTTTAAAAATTCTGTTTGTTTTTTTTTGAGTTTGTAGCGACGGCTGGTTTGGTGAGGACTGTGACAAACAGTGTCAGTGTTCACTAAACACAGAAGTATGTGACAAGATCACTGGACAGTGTCTGAGTGGATGTGCTGCTGGATACATGGAAAAAGACTGCCAAACAGGTACAGGTTCTGAGCATCTTATCGAAGGAATTCGGTAATATGGACACATTGTGATGTGAACACCCCAGTGTATGGATGTAGTATGGATGACGCTGTTATTACTGCCATGATCTTGAAAGTTCATGTTCCCCTTCAACCGTATGAGTGAGTGAATGATTTGAAATGCATAGTCACATCGGCAATGTGTCATCCATATCGTAACTAAGACAGGTAAAACGTTAACAATATGTAATATTAGAATATTTGTCGACAAAGGACAGTTAACCGTATGAAGATCCAACGTGTTAACTAACGAGATAAATCAGTAACCAGTTGGAATGGAAATCATAATATGTCATGGCAGGCAACGTCAATATATAAATAGATTGTCAATAACTTTTGCCACCTCCATTGAATACTTACAAACGTTCATATCTCGTAAGGGAAAGGTATTTGTTACTTACATTTGCCTTCTTTGAAAAAACCATCGGATTTCTCTTAGATTCGTGTTTTATATTATCATGATCAGTGATGATGTATTGGATTCATGCAATGCGTGTCTAACGTATGGCACAGTTGAACAATCGATTCTTTTATGTCATGTAAAGCGTGTTCAGACGGTTACTATGGAAACTGCACATCCAAGTGTGGAAACTGCCCCAACGCTGCCTTTTGTAACAAGTCAACAGGTATCTGCCCTGGAGGTTGTTCAGCAGGGTGGCAAACAGACACCTGTCTTCAACGTGAGTACCGTGTCTTTCCTTCAAGGGCAATGGTTTGGGTTTAACAATATTCTTAACATATTCTGATTTACGTAATTTGGCTATAGCTCGCTTTTGTAATCATACTTTCTCAACGAACTTTGATGATTATCCTTTCCAAGATTTCTGTGCATAGATATATGCATGACATAAAACCCAATTTCCCAGTGTCATTGATATTCTAGTGGTTCTAAATTCGATTTCACCAGGACTATGATTCATGAAGTTTAGTGCAAATAGAAACGATAAAACCGTTTCGATAGCCATGAGTGACAGCGTCTCTTGTGGGCATCTGTTGATGAATAACTATCAAATAATGATGATATAATGTGAAGTAGAGAGTCTGTCTTTGCCTTTCGTTCACAAACGTCACCAACACGCAAAACTAATTCAAAATTTCAAAGCCAAACAGAGTCCACAAGTACAAATTAAAACACGCATTGCATCTTACGTATTTTGCGACACGGATGTGTCTATAGAAATATCCTACACATGACGATCATTCGCTCTTTTGACTTTTACATTTACAACGACTCACTGATACATTATACATCGAAGACGTCAGGAACTTCGACCGAACTCGATGTACCTTTTGGTTTGTATACTTGTACATGCGTGTCAGGGTGCATGGTTTTGCTGTTAATCATCATGCCTTTCAAATTGTTCTTATCATCGGAAACTGTCTTGATGGGGAATGTTTTGCCATGTGTTTCAGTGTGTCTGACTGGAGTATTTTGTTACAAGTCGATGTGCAACCTCTGGATTGTATGTTTCCAAATGATGTTTCTAATTCCATTTGTTATACGTTCGGGGGGTAAAACACGTTTCGTTTATGTTCACAGCATGTCCGAGTGGCTACTATGGCCCGAACTGTGGCGTCCTGTGTGGCAACTGTGTGGAAGGTGATGTTTGCATCAAGACCAATGGAACATGTCCTGGAGGATGTGCAGCGGGGTGGATCAACGACACGTGTCATCAAGGTAAGTAATTCCTGTGCAGTGTATGATATGTCATCATATGAACACCAAACTGACTAAAACCAGATTTGAGTTACATAACATGATGCTATTTATGTATTTGAACTATTGGTTCAAGGAAAATGAAGAAAGTAGACTTAGTTAAAGTAGCTTATTTCGTCAGGCGAGTAAACGTGTGTGTATATTTATATTGCTGTTTCAATTCACACATCACGGAGAAAACTGTACCTGTAACATACCTATCACATTGACCATAAAACGCTGAGTATAAGTATCGAACAGCCAATTTGTGTTCGTTTTGCAGACTGAGAAGATGAAACTTTGAGTAATGACTGATTAGTGATGAGTAATGTGTATGCACATGATGTTGTTTAAATATTTGAATGAAATGTGAATATCACAAAGTGTCCTTTATTACAATGACCAAGTTTCATGTCGAGTACCATTTCAGTTAAAGAACACTTTTCTTGTAGCATGTCCAGATGGTTACTATGGTACTGACTGCACGCCCAAGTGTGGAAACTGTCTGGACAAAGATGTGTGTAACAGGTCAACGGGAACATGTCCCAACGGGTGGATGAATAACACATGTCATAACAGTAAGTCATTGATTTGATTTCCATTATGCTTCTTCCATATAGAAAACAACTGTGTAAAGCGTGAACAATTCTTCAGTCTGACACTTCATTTGTCATTGAGGTTTGTGCGTACATCTGAAGTTGTATCATGGAGTGAAAGTATAGATCATCAGAATATCGTAAGAACTTATTATTTCTGTAACAAGTGTTGTTTAGTACCAGCTTTGGAATGATTGGATATTTAAATTTCATTGACGCGATCAATTGTATTTCTAGTTTATATTTACAGATTAAACGTGACAAGGAGTTGTTGATGTATGACGAGGGCATAAAATATTCGCTAAAATAACTGAATTTGCTTTGGGTCAAGCAGTCTGTTTGTAATCGTAAAGTGCGTAAAGATTAATTTTGTTCTGGCCATGAACACAATTTACCAACTTAATACTCGTGAACATAGCACTGCAATGAAAACATTCTCCGATGGGGATGATAATAGCATTGCCTATATACAGGATGTTCTTACTTATATTAGTATGCACACCTGATCAGTTCATGTGTCTATCATCACAAAGAAAATGTCCTTTGTCAGTACGTCTTTTGCATGCACCCACATGTTTATGTGCATATGTTCTCACTACTTGTGTTATATCTGTGTTTCTCATGTTCCAGCGGGTGTGTAGAAGGGTGAAAGAAGAACGTGTCATAACTGTAAATCATTGATTGGATTTCCATTTATGTTTCTACAATATATGATACCATTATAAACACGACTGTGTAAAACATAGTGTGAACTATGTGTCAGTTTGTCATTGAAGTTTGTGCGCACATCTGCAAGTGTATAATGGAGTGAAAGTACAAGTCACCAGAATACCAGAAGTAATCATTAATTGTGTAAAAGTGCTAAGAACTAACTTTAGAACGTTTTGATATTTGAATTCCATTCACACAAACAATTCCAATTCAGTGTGTATTCACAAATTAAAGCTGCCGAGGAGGGGGGTTGATATTTGAAACGGACATAAAATATTCACTAAAATTGAATTTGATTTGAACATTAAATACAACTTCCATGATATTCATTTATAAGGCATGTATATTACGTGACACAGACGCACACATGTAAACAAGACTTGATTAACATTATAACATACTGGTTATTTCAGTGTATGAAGACGGGAAGTACGGAATTGGTTGTACGTCAGAATGTGGTCACTGCAAGAACGACACAATCTGTGACAAAACTAACGGAACCTGCGGGAGTGGATGTGATGGGGTGTATTTAGGTGCCCGCTGTGAGCGTAAGTATGTACATACGTGTATGAACTTGGAAAACAATCGTGAGAGGATGTGATGGAGGCTATTTAGGTGTCTGTTGCAAGGGTAAGTATAAGCATAAAGATCTGAACATGCATGAAAGGAACAGCTTTGCAGATGAACGGGGAATGTTTGATTTTGAGTAACACCAATAATCACTGTCAACCCATGAACCACAGTTTCGAAACTCTTAAATACAGATCGGAAACAAATAGTCCCATGCACGCAGAACTTGCGTAATATTATGCTGACCTTCCATGTTTAGTCATGTGAATATTAGTTAGAAAAAAAATAATTATACACACATATAGTTGTACACACTGAGAAGAATTGTACACAATCACGATTTCTCGACCAAATTTATCCTTGCTAGGTGCTGTACCAATACAGTACTTACGAACACGCACACGCACACACACATGTGCATGTATTCTTGTGTGCGCATACAAGGACATCCAGGGCAACTATTAGATTTGATATTTTATCTGGTTATATTTCTCTGATATCTGATATTGCTTTTGCCAAGCTAATGCTTTAATTCTACTAAACCAGTTACAAACAAAAGCAATATTTCTTCTAGTTTTTTGTAAGAATATTGATAAACAAATAAATTGTATCTGTTTTAGCCATGCAGGTTACGGTTAATGAAAAAACCTCTATGGCTGGAATAATTGGAGGGACAGTTGCAGCTCTGTTGGCAATTGCCATCGTCATAATCGTCCTATTTTCATCTTCAGGCGGAGGTAAGAGGTATTACGGCTTATTCCTTTCCATTAGCCTCTACTGAACTTGGATTGTGTTTCCGTACGCATCAAACTGCTAAATTGTATTTTTGTTTTACTTTTTACTTTTATATTTTTTACTTTTTGTATGATATCTCGGCCATTTCAAAGTACATTAAAACTTACCAAATATTTTAAACGTGGCATTTTTGTGATTTTTTAATCATCGGTTAACTTTAACAACAATCGTCAGCGGCTGAAGTGATGGTATAAATCCAGCTAGGGTCAATGCAGACAGCAAAGGCACTGTAATTCCCCATGGTCATTAGTATGGTGATCTACCTTCAGTTTCTGGCGATCTATACCATGCTGATATATTGTATTGTCTTCCTAAATATAATAGTTTTAGATTATTATGCCAGGTTAACACACCATCTGTGATGCTCTAGTTAATTCACAGTCCTTCGATGACTAGATACATAACAACTTGTTTTTATTGTGTATGCAAAATATTTCTTGTCACAATATGGCTGAAATATTGACAAAATGACGTTAAATCACTCACTAACTCACTCTCTGCGAGTTCAAGAAGGTAGATATTTTCAGTATGTAATAACTTTCGTTTCTCTTGAAGGAAGGGACCAAAGCACGATGACGAGAGGCTGCAGTCTAATCAAGATGTGCCTAATTCAAAAGCAAAAACTGTTGAGATTGTAATATTGTCAGCTAATTTCAATATTGATAATGTCACATTCTAAGTGAAACTATGCATGCAACCACAACGCATATTGGAGGTGAAAGAATATGGGAATGTGGACATATGTATAAAGGTAAGTTATCATACCATCAATTTCATGTCAAAATGTAAATAGACTTCATCGTTTTATCTCAGATTAACAGTGGTATATTGCTAAGTTGTGTTACCATAAAAGTGCAGTTTACTCATTCCATCTAAAGCAACATCTAGAACATTTTCAGACAAGGCAGCTAGAATGTAACGCAGTTCAACACCAGCGACCAAGGACGATGAGGACGAAGATGCAACCCTATCTGTTGAAGCTGAAGTGGACGTAGATAACGAAGCTGTCGCCACCTACTACAACTTTGTACCTCCTCACATGACGCTGGACACTCTGCCACAGTGTATAATTGAGAAGAAAACGAAGGCCACTTTTCCAACAGAATTTCAGGTTTGTGAAAATATATACACATCGTGCTTACACATCCCATTCTGGGTTTGAAAACAATGGGACAACTGAGTGCTTAAAATGGATTGCCACAAGGAAATCACTGGTTCGATTCCCAAGACCAACAATATGACTACAGCTGAAAACAAATCGAAAACGGTATCACATAATCTGCTTTGATTGGTGTATATTTTCGGTGAGATTTATCTCTTGTGAAAACACCACGTTTACCATTTTTAACACATACAATGAGTCACACAACAAATCTATACAAATATTGTCTTCAAGAGACAAAAGCATGTATTTTGGTGACGCACATGATCATGCACACGACTTTGCGGGACTGACAAACACAGAGCCATTATGAGATAGTAATATCTAAATATATTTTACGAATCCTTAGCGAAAACATCACAAACGTTCATTGTCATGGCTTGTGAGAAGTTAACAATATAAATAGTATATGTTTCCAACTTTGTGATTTACTTACCACATATATGTTATAGGCCATCCCATATGGAGCAAAGAAACCACATAAATTCGGCAAGCAGCCAGAAAACAAGATCAAGAGCCGCTTCCTTGCTCTTTATCCATGTAAGGTGATAAGATCAGACCACGTATTAAAGACAAGTACATGTAAATATATATGCTGTGATTATGACAACCATACATTAATAATAAAGAACAAAGAATATTTTTCATGAAAACATATATAGGTCCAAAACAAGATATCAAGACTACTCAAAGAAAATGTTAGGCATCACTCCACATATATAGAAAGTTTGTTTTTGTGTTCTCCAGATGATGAATCGAGGGTAGTGTTGGGAGATGGGGAGGATTACATCAATGCCAATTACATCGGTGTAAGTAACACTATATAACCTTTATACCGTCAACAACGACATGTACAGAGAATACTCAGTCTCTATTGTTTTATATTAAGGCAAAGTTGTGTAGGACATTGGGTGGGTCTCGAAAACGATCCAATAGTGTCACTGAGGTAATACATTTCCGTGACATTATGATGATTCTGCCTCCTTAAACCTAGACAAAATTAACTAGGTGAAATTACGTATGCAAATGTAACATTAATCACACATTGCAATATTGAAGCAGAGGTTCGTGGCATTTATTCAGCACATGCAAACAAAGTGTAAATGTACTTTATGTTATTTTCAGGGTTACGATGATACTCCGAAGTACATAGCCACACAAGGTACGTAAGATGTATCATGCTGTTATAGGATATGTGTGTGTTGAACGGGCCAGCTTTTCTTGTATATACTATACTAGATATGATCTTATTAAACCTAAAGAAAATATATTGACATCACAGGACCCAAGCCAGGGACAGTCACTGACTTCTGGCGGATGGTGTGGCAGGAGGACGTTACACAGATAGTCATGCTGACGAGACTGATGGAGATGAACAAGGTGGGATGTGCTTCATGGTAGCTCCAAGGTTCCATTGAATACTTAGTGAATTATCTACATGTCTACATACTGATAATGTGTGTCAATATATGCATGTACACTGAAGGTGGTGATAGGTTCCAGAGCAAGGGGTGAACTAATCCATTGCATTTTGTTTTCTAGAAGAAAAGTGCAAAATATTGGCCTGATGCGACCAAGACCGAAAGCTACGGAAACATCCAGGTTAATATCAAAGATGTGGCACCAACAGCTGATTACACAATTTCTACGTTCCTGGTTAAATGTTCTGTAAGTGTATACATTTTGTGATGGAATATCTTACACTGTTTCTTGTTATTACATTTAATGAAAAAGTACGTTATTGCAACCAAGGACATTAAGGAAGAAAGTAAAGTCTCCTGTGTGATCTGTATTTTCCCTCAAAACGGCTCTGGGGCCGATGGGGTAGCCTAGTGGTTAAAGCGTTGGCTCGTCACGCCGAAGACCCGGGTTCGATTCCCCCCATGGGCACAATGTGGTAAGCCCATTTCTGGTGTCCCCCGCCGTGATATTGCTGGGATATTGCTAAAAGCGGCGTAAAACTAAACTCAGTCAGTCCAAACGGCTCATTTGTGAAACATTTGTATCCACAAACGTTAATGTAAATGTCAGTTTCTCTCTGCTTAGTCAGACCTGAAACAGCATATCTATTTTTCAGCCTGATACGTATTACGTTGATTGGTGATATTATCTTGATTGATTAATTGACAAAAGAATTTCTTAATTGTTATTTGTCACTACACAGGGTGTCGAGAGGACTGTGACGCACTACCACTTCAGATCTTGGCCTGACCATGGTGTTCCTTCTGCTCCTGCCCTCGTTTGACTGGTCAAACAGGAGGACATGGGCAGGGGACCCATGGTGGTGCATTGCAGGTATGTTTGACTGTGAGACAGAAACAATATTCGTTCACTATAGGCAACTTAACTGGCTATAGATCGCCAACAACTGAAGGTAGATCACCATACTAGGGACCATGGGGGTAAAGACCTGCAGGCTAAAAGCTGAAACTGAAACTACAATATAATTAAATGATGGCATGCTGATTTATGTATTCTGACATGCGAAAGGATACGGCCTATTTGTTGATATATTAGGCGACCAGTTGCGGGGACAACATACACGAATCCCACGATGTAATAATTAAAAATGATTATTTTTCCTTATCCTGACTCATACTTATTGCTTGCTTGTCTCCCTTTCCTTCCGAATGCTAGTGGAACACTTGAATCCCCTTTTGAAGCTCCCTTAAAAAAAGCGGACGTAAAATCACTCACCAGGAGTCATCTCCCTTCCCAAGGTTTTGGCGGGAAACCGGCGCCACCTGTCGCCATGCTCCTCACTCTCTCCTGATTTGCCCGAGTGGGCGGTTGTAAGAGCACCTGGTCCCCTTTACGGCATTATATCCTTTTATTATTTAGGCCTTTCTTCTAAATTAGCTGTATAAGGCTATAGTTAACGTTTACCTACTATATTCTACGGAATTAATTCTCAAATTTCTCTGTTTTATCACGTTTTTACATGATTATTCACATTGTTTACAATTGATGAAATCTTGTTCTGGCTGTAGGTATCGATTATCTGCTGTTGATCCACATAACCTAGGTCCTAATTGCAAGCCTGTATGTTATCTGACACTCGTTGTCAATTGTGTTTTCACCTGTCTGATATTGCATTTTACAAATAATCATATTATCTGTCTAGACGTGCAAAGGACAGGTCCATACGAGATTTACACGACATGTCTAAACCGGCAGTTGGTGTCTGCGCAGATGCACCATTCGAGTGGTCTACCGGGGTCGTCTACGGAGGAGGTTGCCGCCATAGACAACGCTGGCTCGAGGAAGAGGTCATCTACATCTGATACTTCCTCTTCGCAGTCTAAGAAGACTAGGGCATCATCTTCCCAGAGGAAGAAGTCAGCTACAACTAAGACTTCGTCGAAGTCTCCACATGGGGCAACGCAGAAAACGAGGTCCTTTTCAGCACTGGAAGAAGTAGATGTCTACGATGAGCCGCCCATCCTCATCCTTGAGATCACATCTAAGAGAAGACGAAGACGTCTTCTACAGTGACCACGCAGGACAACCCTTCAATGCAGACGTTCGGCACGAAGGATCAACGCCCTTCGGAAGAAGCCTCATCCGTCTCAGATGCGTCGTCCGTACAACAGACAACGCAGACCTTCAATCTGGGCGCCTTTATGCAGCAATCTACCCAACAGATGTTGGATCTGATGGAACAACGGTTCGCACGAGAGAGAGAGCTGCGACGGACCCGAGTGAAGGTCAACTGAGCTGCACACCACGTCCGTTGGGAACCAACGTCCTGCAGAGCGTACAGGAAGATTCCAGCTCGACTGCAGCGTCCGCACGAATATCTGGCAGCCATACCAACGTGGAACCTGCACCGACTGCGTTCGGCGGAAGGACTACACGTTCGTCACGAACCTGCACGCAAGAATGACTACAACGTCCGCACGAAGGTCTGGCAGTCCTACCAACGTAGAACCTACACCAGTTACGTTCGGCGAACACTCAAGGACAAGACGTTCGCCTAACCCACGCAGATTGTCATCTACCTCAGATGCGGACATTCGTCACGAACCCGCACGCAAGGGTTCGTTACCAAGGAGGAGAGAATCTACACCCGTGCGAAGGCACAGAGATTCGTCACAAGACTCCAACCCTCGACAGAGCTGTTCACCTACAATGCAGGTTCTCCACGAAGCTCACCACGCAGGTCTCCATACAGATCACCACGCAGATTATCACATAGATCTTCATACAGATCGCCTTACAAATCTCCAGACACGAGGAGACATCAATCCTCAGAGCATGATACTGCTAAATCGGAAGATGACGGCGGAATTACATTTTTTTTTTCCGACTCTGAAATCAAGTCATGGATGGCCAACCGTTTGGAACTCGCATTACCC